CAGGTCGGTCGGAGGCGATGGGGCCGGGAAGGGGGCTGGGGGGGGTGCCCCCCAGGGTCTCTCCTCCCGCTGTGAGTGGCAGCTGGTCAGAGGGGAAGGTGGGGCGGAGGCTCCCTGGTGGTCTCCACGCAAGGCCGGCCCCCTCCCTCCGCCATTCCCAGGCCCGCAGCATCCTCACTCAGCCCGGGGGGGGGGGCCCAGAGACGAGGGAGGGAGGGATGGGGGGGGGCATCCCGCCTGGCCCCACCCTGCAGGTGGAAAGGAAGGTCCAGCAGCAGCAGCAGCCGCAGCAGCAGAGGGTGGCTTCCTCCGGTCCCCCTCTGCCGGGGACGGGGCTGTCACGAGATCCAGGCAGAGCTCCATCCATTGGGCCAAGAGCTGGGGGCTCCCCACCCCTCTGGAGCAGAAGCCACCTGCCTGCCGGCTAAAAGAGGCGCCCTGGGGCTGGGGGAGACGGAGTCACGGCTTGCCCAAGGGCGAGTGGAGAGGCCCTGGGGCTGGAGGGGGGGGCACTGGCAGGGGAAGGCAGGGCCTACAGAGGGCCACGCAGCAGAAGGTCCCCCGGCAGCATCTCCGGCTGCAAGGACCAGGCAGGAGGAGGTGAGAAAGACCTTTTTCTCCCGGAGACCCTGGAGAGCGACGGCCACTCTGAGCAGAAGAGACTGACCTGGACGGAAGGCAGCTCCAGGTGTCCCTGGGTCCGGACTCTGAGCTGTCCCCTCGGACCTGGGAGATCATAGAACCACCGTAGAAGGTGGGAGCGGAGTGGGGAGGGACCTTGCAGGTCATCTGGTCAGTTGGAGAACTGTGGGGACAGGCAGGGTGGGTGGAGGGGTCGGAGTGCTGCTGACCCTGCCCACCTCAGGCCGCCCCTCTGCTGTGGAGCTGCTTGCAGGGGCCCCAAAGGGCCAGTGCCCACCCCGCCAGGCTGGAGCCCTGGGGGGAGGGGGAGGAGAACCAAGTCTCATGTCCTCTTTGGGGGGGGTGGCTTGCCCAGAGGAGACCCCCCCACACACACACACAGCCCCAGACTCCTGTGCCAGCTTCCTTCAGAAGAGTGGCCGTGGCCCAGCTGGGGGGCTGAGAGCCAGATCCAAGAGCAGCTCACAGATGTGGTAGCCCTTCTCTCCATCGGGCCGGGCTGTCTGGGTCTGCGGGGTGTGTGTGTGTGTGTGGAGCCCCCTGATGGGAACTAGCAGAAGGGGAGGGGGGCCATTCTGGCTTCATCCCAGCCTGAGAACAATGGAGGGGTGGAGGGGGGTGAATTCAGACACCCCTTGGTTTTCGGCAAGAAGGACAGCCGATTCCTCCCCCCCCCCAGTGAAAGTGCCAGAGGGTGGCCCACCCCGGAGAAGTGGGAACCAGGGAGGCCCCCCCCCTCACCTCGCGCACAGGCTCTGGAACAATGGAGCCTTCCCTCTTTCTGAGTCCCCTGGCCCACCCCC